GCGGATTCCCGCCGCGTCCTGCCCTGCCGGTGGTCAGCGGGTGGCCAGCGGGTGGCCTCCCGGGCCCGGCCCCGGCAGGTGCAGTGGGTGGTGCGTGTGGGCCCACGGGTTCCCCTTGGGTGCACAGCCACCGTGGGGCTCCCGGGAGCCAGGGTCCTCAGCGTTGGCCGTCCTTGGCGGGGCCCGGCTAGAAGCCCTTCATAGGCTTGTTCTGCGAACAGCTGCTCCGTGGCTTAGTCTTCTCTCTATTTTGATAAACAGAAGTTCTTAAGTTTTATATCGTCCGATTCGACATTATTTTCCTTAAGGATACACTTGCTGCGTCCGGTGGAAGGAATCTGCTCTCCGTTTACGACTCCGTCGTTTGCCCTGGCACACAGCTCAGCGCCCCCCGGCCTCGGTTTGTCTCGGGCTGTCAGGGCGGGCTCAGGATTCGAATCCCCGGGGGTGGCTGCTCCAGCAGTGGAGTGACAGCTTCTTTCCTCTCCTGCTGTGCGCACCCTTGCTTTCTCCTCTAGAGCTGCTGCGTCCCGCCCCCAGCTGGTCTCCCTGGCCTCTCTGCTTCCACAGGAAATACAGAAAGTAGCAAGTGGAGCCTGGGGCCTGGCCTGGCCTGAGCAAGGGGTGGAGGGCCGCCGGCAGGGCGAGTCCCCCCTGGAGCCCTGCCCCGGGCGCTGGTGGCAGCCGGAGGCACTGGCATAGGGCTCTATTGATAGTTTATGCATTTGCTTGGAGTTTACACTAACCTATATTTAAGGTATATGATAATTTAGGTTGACATAGTGAGATAGAAATTTTTTTCTTTAGAAATTGTCCATACAGTATTCGTGCGGGAAATAGTGACCTGACACAAGACACCTGTCCTCAACTTCGCAGCGTGGTGAGAGGTAACCAGGATAAACTGCACTTTACTGTGAAAACTGACACCCACTCCCATCCTGCCAGGGTCTTGCATCGTTTGCCTCATTGTCAAGGGGACTTCACCTTCCCTGCTCACATCATAAGGATGTGGTGAGGATCAGGTATATGGAACTGTGTTGGGATCTGTGAGAGACACGCTCCAGCCAGCCAGCCATCTGTCCATCCATCTGTCTGTGTGTCTATTTATTATCTTTATTGAGCTTCCATTCACACTCATGCATGCAGATGCTCACAGAGCCCCAAAATCACAGTGTCCCTCTTTTACAGTCTAATAAATGGAACTTGAAGAGGTTAAGAGGTTTCCCCAAGGTCATGCAGCTGCCAGGCAGGTGCTGGCGCGACCACGTGTTGTGACAGGCACTGGATGGTGACTTCGGGTGTGTTAAAAAAGGCCCCTTGTGGGTTGGGAAGGGGCAGGGGTGGGCAGGCTTCTTCAACTGCCCTGCAGCTTTCTCCCTAATGCATGAACCTCATTTGAGCTGTTCTGTTCCACTGCACACAGCCCAGAGGGCTGTGAATAATGCGAGAGGAGCTGGGACCTCTGGGGGAAGCAAAGGGTCGGCTTTTGGGGGAGACGGGCCTTATCAGCTGGGAGTACTGTTAAGTGAGGCCTGGGAAATGAGTCCCATTTTTAAAATGTCATTTCATAAACTCACCCTGGAAGCAAAAGCATTCTCTGCCGCGTGAGGAGCTCCACGTGGACTCAGAGCAAAGCAAACGGTGGTGATGCTGGTGATAATGACCATTGACATTTATTGCTATTTTGGGCCAGACTTTACGCAGCATCCCAAAATAAGTATTAGTGCCAATTTTACAAAAAAGAAATGGGCTACATATTAAAAAATACATAAAAGTGGAGGTTGAGTGGGGGCCCTTTCAGGAATAAATGTGTTTGTTTTTAATGTGCCAGAACATAATTAATATTAAATAATGTGTAAACTAACTAGGAAAACGTGGCTGTAGCCAGCCACAATCTACTTTTTTCCATCCAAGAGCAACAGCTCACTTCTGAAATTCATCAAAGTTCAGTTTGAACACAGAAGAGAGAAACTGGAGGCAAGCATAACTTCAATATTTTCAGCATTACTTTGTTAATTTGACATTTCATGTTGCCCTTTTTATATTTTGGGGAGCTGTGTTTCCTGAAATATTCTCCCTTAAGAAGTACTGTCTTGTCAGGGTTCTCCCAAGAAGCAGAACCAATAGGATTTACGTGTGCTACCCATGTCATCTCTCTCGATCTACAGCGTCTCTATCTTTATCCTTGTCATCACTATCTGTATATGTGGATCGTGCCTCTCTCCTGCAGGCTGGAGACCCAGGAGACGTCATGCTGCAGCTTGAGTCCGAAGGTCAAGGTCGTCTGCCGTGAGAATCCCCTTTCTCAGGGAGGTCAGTTTCATCTCTACTAAGACCTTCAACCAACTGCATGAGGCTTATCACACTGGAGAGCCTCATCTGCTTTACTCAAAGTCTAATGATTTAAATGTTAATCACATTTAGAACATACCTTCACAGATAAATCTAGAACAATGTTTGACTAAATAGGCCTAGCCAAGTTGGCACAAAATTAACCATCACAAGTGTCATTCATTTAAAAAAATATATATTTGGTTTTTAAAATATTCTTGAACAAAAAGGATCCTGCATCTAGTCAAACATTTAGAGCTAACTTCTACTCTGCAGGTAGAAGGTCTAGTGAAACAGCAGTCTACAGATGCCAGGTCCCAACTGGGGAATTCTGGGGGATGGATACACCGCTCAGTCACTTGTGGCAGTGACGGCACAGATCCTGTCTCCATTCGGAGAGGGTGGGCTGAGAGAGAGGTCTAGGAGGCACAGGAACAAAATACAGCGTGTGCACCATGTTTGAGTCCTGATGGGAATAAAACCAACCGTCAAGGGACCCCTGGGTGGCTTAGTAGTTGAGCATCTGCCTTTGGCTCAGCACATGATCCCGGGGTCCTGGGATCGAGTCCCACATCAGGATCCCCGCAGGAAGCCTGCCTCTCCCTCTGCCTATGTCTCTGTTTCTCTCTCGGTATCTCTCATGAAAAAATAAACTAAAACAAACAAAAGAAAAACATTTTCTTTTTCAGAAATGGCAAGTTTAAATTTGAAATAGGCACAAACTGACGTTAAGAAATCATGATGAGGGGATCCCTGGGTGGCTCAGCAGTTTAGCGCCTGCCTTTGGCCCAGGGTGCGATCCTGGAGTCCTGGGATCGAGTCCCGCGTTGGGCTCCCGGCATGGAGCCTGTTTCTCCTTCCTCCTGTGTCTATGCCTCTTTCTCTCTCTATGTCTATAATAAATAAATAAATAAATAAATAAATAAATAAATAAATAAATAAATAAATCTTAAAAAAAAGAAATCATGGTGAATTTTCATAGGTGTGAAAATGCCACAAATAAGAAAATGTCTTTTCTTTTAAAAGATTTTATTTATTTGAGTGACAGCCAGAGCGTGCGAGCAAGAGAGAGCATGGGGAAGGGCATGGAGAAGGACAAGCAGACTCCCTGCTGAGGGCAGAGTCTGACCTCAATCCCAAGACCCTGAGACCATGACCTGAGCTGAAACCAAGAGTCAGACAATCACCCAGGAGCCCCGGAAAATGCCTTTTTTATTTGAGAAGCGACTGATGGTTTTCCAGGTGAAATGACGTGTTTAGGGTTTTCTTTGAAATTACTCCAGCAAAAAGAAAACTGAAGATCAGTGAAACAAGTATGGCAAAATGCTAATGATTGCCAAAGCTGGGTGACATGTATGAAGTCCACTGCTCTATTCTGTGTATGTGTAGATGTTTTCATCAATAAAAGTATACAATAAATAAACCTATTAAATAATAAGAATTTGCATGTTTACATATATAAATATAAATAAGCCTATTAAAACATTATGCTGATTTTCCATATAAAAAATCTTACATAACAATTTGAATTTGTGTTGGTGAAATTGATTTGTTGAAATTCTTTTCAGCATCTTCCAAGTGCACCTTATACTTTCTCTGTATCCAAGATAAAAGTCATCTGCTTCCTCAGTTGTTACATTAATAAGCCAGCTGTTCCTTCTGCATTCCCATCTCTGCTCTAGGACAGAAGTCTCAACAGGGCAGAATTTCAGTGATGTACCCTAACACCTCTAACGCTAATATTTGTTGAATGAATAATTGTTTTTCCTGCCAGAAAATACTCTGAGTCGTGAATAGTCATTTCATAAATTTGAACGATGCTTCAACAATGGAATGATGAGCCAGTGCAACTTTTCAGTAATTAATGCATGAATATAGCATTAGTTTTGCATCTTTTCAGAATTTCTTTTTTATAGTCCATACACTTTACAAACCTGATAATATAGTATGATCACACATTAAAATTACTGGCAGATTACAAAAGATTCACACTAAGTCGTCACAAAAGCATATTCATGAAACTCCGCAGAAAATATTCAAAACTATCTTGCACTTTTCTCAAGTACAACCTGACAGTTCAATAAAGGGAGGCCGCCTGGGTGTCCAGCCCGGGGTCTACTCCTTGGGACTCGTGTCATCTATAAGATGGTGTTTTGTCAGGAAACCCAGGGGGTGGGTTACAGCCTGCAAAGCCCAAATCAACATCTGATGAAAACTGGCTTCTGAGCAAGCAAGATATGGTTTTTGAAGAACAAAATTCCTTACCGGTTGCTTCCGAGGCCACGTAGCCCACAAAAATGGATTTTAGTGACTTAAGGCAGGTCACAGTGTTAACGGCCTCCTCGGGCGAGGGTGCCACCTAGATCTGTGAGAGGTAAGATAAAGTCTTCGAGCTGGGTTCTCCGCTTCCCAGGCAGGGCTGGAGGATTCACAGGCCGGAAAGTGTTGACCTTACAAGATAAAACGGTTATTTTACCAGCAAATCCAGTTTCCCCAGGAGCAGCAGAGGAGCCGCAGCAGCCTGTAAGCAGCGGGCGGGAAACTCTTTTATATGGAAGGGGGTGGGCGGGGCTGTATGGAAGGAAAGCCCATTGGAGGGCGGTGGCGGCTTCTCCCTGGCTGAGTGTGGCGGCGGCTTCTCATTGGCTGCAGGTGATGGTGGTGGCTTCTCATTGGCTGAGTGTGGCGGCAGCCCACCCGGAAGTCTTGGCGCTTCCTGCTGCCCTGGGCCGGGTAAGGCCGGCTTTCCCCTTGAGGCTGTCCCGACGGCAGTTCCCGCGAGGTCTCCTCTGCTCGGTTCCGGTTCCGGGGCAGCAGCAGGGGAGGCGGCGGAGACCCCGTGGAGCCCTGGCTTCCGGGCCGGGCCGGCGGAGCAGCTCCGAGGCCTCACCGCGGGGGCGGGCACGAGGGAGCACGCGGTCTCCACCTCGAGCTTTGCGGATGGAGGCACCTGGGCCCTGAGCCCGTGGCGCGCCCGTCCCGCAGCTCCGTCTGCCTCCGGCCGGCCTCCTGGACGACCCCCTGTGCCCGCCTGTGGCCGCCGCGGGAGACCTCCCTGGCGGAGCGGCCCTCGGGGCCCCACGAGGACGGCGGCGCGGCACTCCCAGCACGGCCCTGCCTTCCGCGTGACCCCCGTGTGACCCCCGCGTGACCCGGATGTGGCAGTGTAGACCGCCGCCGCCTGCAGGCAGGCTGAAGCCGCCCGGCGACCTCGACGCTCCTCGGCGGCCTGGGCTCCCCGTGGGTCGAGCCCGTGGCTGCTGCATCGTGTTCCACGTCCCTGTCGGGCGGCTCGTGTCCTCGCTGCGAAACATGGGCCTGGGGGCCGAGGGCCAAGGCGGCGCGTCGCCGGGATCAGCGCCCTCAGGAGACCCCCAGGCGGTGCGACCCCGAGCGCCCGTGCGAGGCCCGCGCCTGCGCCCTGCGGCCTGAAGCCCCGGGAGTGGAGCCGGAGCCCGGGCGCCGCCGCGCGCCCCTGGAGTCGGGCCCGTCGGGGGGAAGCCCTGGCCTCGGCCTTGGGGACGCAGCGGTGAGGCCCCCGCCGTGCAGGCGCGCCCCACCCGCGGCTCCCTGCGTGCGCCCCACCCGGCCGAGGGCGCGCGCTTGTCCCCGTGGCTGCGCCGCCGCCGTCGGAGCCTCTCCGGGGCTGGAGGCCATGTGCCCAGCACCGACCACGCCGGGGCCGCTTGCGGGGGGCCGAGCCCAGCCTGAGCCGCCGGAAGGGCCTCTCCCCCCGCGTGCGCCTGCCCAGGGCCGCGTGACCGGTCACCGCAGACCTGGGGCCGAAGCCGCGGACACGGACTCCCTGAGAAGCCCCGTCGGCCGCCCCGGGCCCCCCGCGGTGTGGCGGTGCCGCAGCGGCGCCCTCGGTGTCCCCGCGGCTGTGCCCCGGCCTCTCCCAGCTCCCGGAGGGGCGTGCCTGGCCCGTCCTCCCGCCCTGTCCTCGGGGACCGCGGCGCCGCGACCTCCCGACCTCCCGGGAGCCCGGAGTTCTCAGGAGGACACGCGGGCCGCTTGCTCAGACCCGGTGTGCGCGCGGGCATGTCCGTCCCGGGTCCGCGCTGGTCGCCCGGCAGGCCCCCCCCCCCCCCCCCCGCCGTACCTGACACCTCCGACTTCACGTGGGCCGCCTTGGCTTTCCTTCCATTCCTTGTCCTTTGGGGTATGGTTTCCCTCCTTCAGTGCAGGTTCCACTTACTGCGGGTGTTTGGGGGTTTCGTGTGTGACGGCGTCACGGACCACCTGTTTGCTGACAGCACGTCTCTTCTGCCACCGGCAGGGGTTGGGGTGGGAGGGCAGCCCCGTGGGGCTCGGGCGGCTTATGCCGGCGGCATCGTTCCAGTTACTAGGACGCAGAATGCAGCGTAGACGCCGTCTTTCGGTAGCGAGCAAGTCGGGGTCCCCCCTTGGGGTGCAGTTGGGGGCACGAGAGCGGCAGCATCTGGACCCCACTGCTCTTGCTGCAGAGGGGCCTCCACCCCAGGGCTTCATGGTTCTGGGGGTCCCACGAGTTCTGTGGACGCCGAGTGCTCTGCTCATCTGTCTTGCTAAGGCCCTGCGGAGGCCTCTGCCCGAGTCCTGTGCTCTGCTGAGCGGCAGCGGCCCGTGTCCATTCTGACCCCCACCCTGTGAGAGCCTCCGTGTGAGTCCCCCAAAACACCCTTTGGAACCTGGACACGAGATTGCCTTGTTGGATGAGGTGTCTTTTAGGATATGCACAAAATTTAGCCTATGCAAAGAGGGTGTAAGTAATTTTTCTGTTGAAACACAGGGAACCACTGAGGTTAGCGTGTTCTCTGAGATTCTCTATCCTTTGTTCAGCGTGTGCAGTGGGTACTGGTGAGGCCTGCGGTGGGTACCTGCCGCTTTGCGTCTGGCTGCCGTGTTTCCAGAAGGTTGAACCTCCGTTCACATTTTATTGCTTTTTCTTGGCCCCACACAGTTCTCTCTTGTCCTTACTCCCACCCCAGGATTGTGTTTATTTCCTAGACAAAGTCACTTGTATCTTTGTTTCTCTGGTTCCTGCCAAGCGTTAGGAGCCATGCTTTTCATGCCCAGAGCACATGATCAAGATTTTTTTCCCCTGGCAAAACTCCTTTTGGAATTGTTGTTTTCTTTTCTTTCTTTCTTTTTCTTTCTCTTTCTCTTTTTCTTTTTCTTTTTTTTTTTTAAAGATCTGAAGCATTAAAAATGTAGTTATTTCAGCTTGAGAGTGGGGAGAGATCACAGATTGACTTTTAAGTTACTCTGAGAAAAGTGATGATTTGTCTCAATAGATAAATAAGCCCTTACCACACAAATAAAGATGCAGTGATCTTTCATGCCACCCCTTCTTTCCTAAAGAACAGACCCAGCCTCTTCTGTGGCCACTCACCCAGGGTGATGCATGTTCCTCCTGAACTGTCTGTGGAAGTTTTGTACTTCTGGTTTGGGAGGTAAAGATCTGTTACATTTGAGCCACCCAGAACCTGGATTCCTTGCTAAGGTACCAGCAATATATCTTTCTTACTTACTTATTTAAATATTTAATTTATTTATTCATGAGAAAGAGAGAGAGAGGCACAGACACAGGCAGAGAGAGAAGCAGGCTCCTTGCAGGGAGCCCGACGTGGGACTCGATCCCGGGTCTCCAGGATCAGGCCCTGGGCTGAAGGTGGCGCTCAACCGCTGAGCCACCCAGGCTGCCCAATATGTCATATTTAGATAGAAAATTTCAGAGAAAGAAAATGTTCAAGAGCTCCAAAGGTAGTAAAAATGAAATATGGTATGCTAATATTGCTAATATTTCCATATACACAAAAGATATTTTTCCTTTGTACATTTGTTTCCTTTCTTGTGTTTGATGGCTTACGGTATGATTTACACATACACCCCTCCCCCTGAGTCTCACACTTCCTGAAACAGATAGGACACATGCAGCATCACCCTTGTGGGGAGAGGTGGCTGCTCTTTGACTAGCAGGTGGCTGTCAGGGATGGACATCAAGGGTTTCTGACTCTGCCCTGTGTGACTCTCACCCACATGGCACTTTGGTTATAGAATTGTCTGAAAAATGGAAGGAATAGATATAGAATACTTTATCCAACCAGAAAATTGACTTGATAATTAAAGATAAATTCAACAAGATTTGAAATGAAATGTTTTTTGAAAACCTCTGAGGCCCTAATTCTGCTATTATCATAACCACTGACAGGAGATAGATTTGGAAAATGTCATACAGTACCCAAAGAAGCAAGTCTCCTTCAGAAAACAGTTCTAGATTGACCTGTGGAGAGGCATGCTCACTTCCTCCTGGATTCATGGGTCGGTCAGCTGGGCAGTCTGCAATGCCGTCCTTTAGGGTGGCTGAGGAAGAGAAAATGTCATTGAAAGCAAATGTTTAATGTTCCTGTTTGGCTTAGCTCTTCTTTTGGTATATTTTTTTTATTGGAGTTTGATTTGCCAACATATAGCATAACATCCAATGCTCATCCCATCAAGTGCCCCCCCTCAGTGCCCGTCACTCAGTCACCCCGTCCCCCCGCCTACCTCCCCTTCCACTACCCCTGTTCGCTTCCCAGAGTTAGGAGTCTCTCATGTTCCATCACCCTATCTGATATTTCCCACTCATCTTCTTCTCTTTCCCCTATAATCCCTTTCACTATTTTTTATATTCCCCATATGAGTGGAACCATATGATGATTGTCCTCCGATTGACTTACTTCACTCAGCATAATACCCTCCAGTTCCGTCCACGTTGAAGCAGATGGTGGGTATTCATCCTTCTAATGGCTGAGGAATATCCCATTGTATACATAGACCACATCTCCTTTGTCCATTCATCTGTCAATGGACACCGAGGCTCCTTCCACAGTTTGGCTACTGTGGACATTGCTGCTAGAAACATCGGGGTGCAGGTGTCCCAGCATTTCACTGCATCTGTATCTTTGGGGTAAATCCCCAGCAGTACAATTGCTGGGTCTTAGGGCAGGTCTATTCTTAACTCTTTGAGGAACCTCCACACAGTTTTCCAAAGTGGCTGTACCAGTTCACATTCCCACCAACAGTGCAAGAGGGTTCCCCTTTCTCCACATCCTCTCCAGCATTTGTTGTTTCCTGTCTTGTTGATTTTCCCCATTCTCACTGGTGTGAGGTGGGATCTCATTGTGGTTTTGATTTGTATTTCCCTGATGGCAAGTGATGCAGAGCATTTTCTCATGTGTTTGGCCATGTGTGTGTGTGTCTTTGGTGAAATTTCTGTTCATGTCTCCTGCCCATTTCATGATTGGATTGGTTGTTTCTTGAGTGTTGAGTTTAATAATTTCTTTATAGATCTTGAATATGAGCCCTTTGTCTGATTATGTCATTTGCAAATATCTTCTCCCATTCTGTAGATTGTCTTTTGGTTTTGTTGACTGTTTCTTTTGCTGTGCAGAAGCTTTTTATATTGATTAAGTTCCAATAATTCATTTTTACTTTTGTTTCCTTTGCCTTCATAGATGTATCTTGCAAGAAGTTGCTGTGGCCAAGTTCAAAAAGGGTGTTGCCTGTGTTCTCCTCTAGGATTTTGATGGAATCCTGTCTCACATTTAGATCTTTCATCCATTTTGAGTTTATCTTTGTGTCTGGTGTAAGAAAATGGTCTAGTTTCATTATTCTGCGTGTGGATGTCCAGTTTTCCCAGCACCATTTATTGAAGAGACTGTCCTTCCAGTGGATGGTCTTTCCTGTTTTGTCGAATATTAGTTGACCATAGAGTTGAGGGCCCATTTCTGAGTTCTCTATTCTGTTCCATTGATCTGTGTGTCTGTTTTTGTGCCAGTACCACACTGTCTTGATGACCACAGCTTTGTAGTACAACTTGAAATATGGCATTGTGATGCCCCCAGATATGGTTTTCTTTTTCAATATTCCCCTGGCTATTCGGGGTCTTTTCTGATTCCACACAAATCTTAAGATTACTTGTTCTAATTCTCTGAAGAAAGTCCATGGCATTTTGATAGGGATTGCATTGAACATGAAAATTGCCCTGGATAGCATAGACATTTTCACCATATTAATTTTTCCAATCCATGAACATGGAATATTTTTCCATCTCTTTGTGTCTTCCTCAATTTCTTTAAGTGTTCTGTAGTTTTTAGGGTATAGATCCTTTACCTCTTTGGTTAGGTTTATTCCTAGGTATCTTACGCTTTTGGGTGCAATTTTAAATGGGGTTGACTCCTTAATTTCTGTTTCTTCAGTCTCATTGTTAGTGTATAGAAATGCCACTGATTTCCGGGCATTGATTTTGTATCCTGCCACACTGCCAAATTGCTGTATGACTTCTAGCAATTTTGGGGTGGAGTCTTTTGGGTTTTCAATGTACAGTATCATGTCATCTGCAAAGAGGGAGAGTTTGACGACTTCTTTGCCAATTTGAATGCCTTTTATTTCTTTTTGTTGCCTGATTGCTGAGGCTAGGACTTCCAGTACTATGTCAAATAGCAGTGGTGAGAGTGGACATCCCTGTCGTGTTCCTGATCTTAGGGGAAAGGCTCCCAGTGTTTCCCCATTGAGAATATTTGCTGTGGGCTTTTCATAGATGGCTTTTAAGATGCTGAGGAATGTTCCCTCTATCCCTACACTCTGAAGAGTTTTGATCAGGAAGATGCTGTATATTGTCAAATGCTTTCTCTGCATCTATTGAGAGGATCATATGGCTCTTGTTTTTTCTCTTGTTGATATGATCTATCATGTTGATTGTTTTACGAGTGTTGAGCCAACCTTGCATCCTGGGGATAAATCCCACTTGGTCATGGTGAATTATCTTCTTAATGTATTGTGAGAGGACTCAGGCCCCCAGGTCTGCCCAGACCTGGGCCGGGACCAGCTGAGGATCAAGGTGTTCCCCACGAAAGCAGTTCACAGCACACGACTGGTAGGCGGCTGCTCTCCAGGGAAGCCCAAGGCCCATGTGTGCCCCTTCCCTTGGGCCATCCTGGGCAGGGGGTCAGAGCGAGGGCAAGGGTCTGAGGTCTCTACCACTGTCAGTGGCCTGCAGCACAGCCCAGTGGGTGGGGAC